AGGAAAAATCAAACATAGTGAGGTGGCATCCTACCAAACACCCTCTAAAAGTGACTTCAAATTCTGCCTTATCAAATATATATATATATATATATATATATATATATATATATATATATATATTAAAGGAAAAATCAAACATAGTGAGGTGGTATCCTAAAAAGTGAGTATTCTTCATTTCTTGAATTGTGGTTGCACTACAAAAATGCAAAGTATCAGTGAGGGAAAAATCCCTCGCAAATCCCTCGCTGAAAGGGCAATCCGTCGCTGATACTCCGTCGGTCAATTAGTCGTAGGTAATGCTATCAGCGACGGATTTGCGAGGGACACTTTCAGCGACGGATCAGCGAAAGATAATTTCAGCGACGGATCAGGGACGGATCTGCGAGGGAACCTTCAGCGACGGATCTGCGAGGGAACCTTCAGCGACGGATCTACGACGGAACCTTCAGCGACGGATCTGCGACGGAACCTTCAGCGACGGATCTGCGACGGAACCTTCAGCGACGGATTTGCGGCGGAATTTTCGAGGACTTTCAGCGACGGATTTTCCCTCGCTAATCCGTCGCTAATTTATATAAATTTAAAAAATAAATTTTTTGAAATTGGATAATTCCTATATTTATTTATAAAAATAACCTGAAAATATTTAACAAACAAAAACTGTAAACAAATTTTAATAACCAATTCATACGATTTAAAATATGGATTCATAAAATTTAAAATATTCAATTCATACAATTTAATATTCGAATACATATAATCTAACTATCGGGAGGTGGGGGAGGTGGGGGAGTTGGGAAAACGTATCATGACTGCCGCATAAACGTAGCAAAATGCTCCGATAATGCGGCCTGTTGGGCTAATGCAGTAGCTTGTCTGGCCTGTTCGGCCTCCAAATCTGCCCTCTTCCTCCGTTCGTCCTCCATTTCGGCCAAATGACGTTCCTCCCGTAACTGTGCCTCCTCCTCTACCCTTGCCAACTTCTCTCTCAACTCCGCTACCTGTAAATATTAAATATTCGACAAAATCAGTAATTTGTTTCCAATTTTAGCAATGAGAAAGTTTATAACAATATAACCAACGTACCTCCGCTCTTGACTCGTATGATGACCCACTACTGCTACATCTACCCGTCATAGCATAAGAGGGATCCTGGGTGGTCCCGAAACCAAATATTCGGCCTTTCCTCCGTCCTCCGACACTTTGTTCCTAAAGAGATGCCTCATCAGGGAGAGGGCTGTTGGTACTAGATTGTGACTCACCCCTAAGCGATTGAAATCGTTCCTATGGTTCACCAAAACAAAAAACGGGTGAGGTTATGTATGTAGATATTTCAGCAGCATAACGACTGTAAATCAAACATAACCAATGCATGTATTTAACAACTAAGCATTCTAATAATACCAATGTTCGAAGTCACATTCTCAACCTACTTACTTAGCCTAACGTCTGCCCAACAATGGCAGCCCAAACTAATAGCATCACTATGTTTATTGAAATATATTACCTTAAACCTACCAAACATATCTATTAACCAAAGTAATGGTTTTAGAAAACTTACATGATACCTAGCAGCTTTCGGGTAACTGAAGTAAGGAGGATCGATAGGCGGGTCGGAAGAACCTTGATCGAACTTTCGGTTCGTGCAATGAGTGCGCTCAAACACCTCAGTAGCATTACGCTCACGACCCATTACTTGTGCCTACATTAGACAATTAGGTTAAGTTGTTACTAACATAAAGAACGAATTACATTTTCAAAAAAGATTAGATACTCACCATCCTGTCTCGATGTTGTGCCGTACTAATCGATCCCCCAGTGTGTCTGGACGACACCCCGTCAAACTGGGTGTTCCGATTGGCCCGATTGATCCTGGATTTCCTTTTCTAAGCCTCGGTATCCCAAACCTGTTAAAAACAGAGCACATATATAAGAATTAAGTCGGTACACATGGCAGTTAGAAAAGCTCACAATAAAGATGCATACTGTATCAATCATCTGCAGCCAAAACCTGTTTGGTATCCATACGGGATGGTGTAATTTAATCCGTAAGAAGTCCTCACCATCCCATTGTTGATCACCATGATAGGCCTGTGCCATGGCCCAATCACGTGCAGAGCTCATCCAGTCAGAGTACCTGTTGTGCATGGATTTGGTCCATAAATCATGAACCGTGTCATCCAGCTCAGGTTCCCACTGGAACTTAGCCTACATACACAATGTTTGTATAAATGTAAAAACAATAACATTGTATGTATAATTACATTAAAATGGTACACCAACCCTAAAGCGCTGGAACATCAAGTCGTGTGCTTCCTGAGGTACTTCCTTCCATCTATGCCACGAACCAGCAAAGGAAGACCTGAAGATAGTAGTCATCTCTCGGATAACATGGGCATCTTTAAACCTGTACAATTAAAAAAATATTTACAACACAAAGATATTCGTATTATTTTATTATGTAATACAAAGTCTTATACACATCTACTAACCCATGGCCTAACAAAGACAGATGTCTTCGGTGGCTCGGATGACTCGGTGTTGGCATCTCCATGTTGGGGCCTCTCCCCGCCCCTGAACCTGTCGAAGCTGGGGGCTCCATGGCAACCTCTTGCTCATCTAAACAGCGTAAAGCGATGTCCGAAAACTCTACAATGTCATCGGCGCGGGCAGAGTTGCTACCCCTACTAGACATGGGGCTGCCGCGACTCCCATGACGGTTTCTACCATGCTCTCGGCATGACATCTCCTGAAAAACAAATATTATATTATATCATGAAAAAAGATGATGACAAATCGCGATTATATATGTACAACTGTTAAATAAGCATATAGAAGACAAACTACTCATCAGAAGAATGATCAGATAACATCGGTTCATCTTCATCATTTGAATCATCATCTATGTCTTCAAATTCTGGTTCATCTTCGCTACCTTCGTTCGATTCGTCGCCACCTTCATCTTCATTTATAGTATGGAGTATGTTTACCTCCCCTGTGGCAAGACGAACATCATCGAGCTCGTTTCCCAATGAGAATGTTGTATGAGTTACCCTTTCGTTGACTTGAAAGAATTGTTCTCCATCCACATGATCGTTGTTTTCAACATCGTTAATCATGTCGTACACTTCATATATGCCACGAGCCTTTGTCTTGACAATTGCCCACCAATCTTTCAAATCCTTTGTCATCGAAGGATATGAAGTATAATAGACTTGTTCTGCCTGTGATGCTAGAACGAACGGGTCGTCGGATCCAAGTCTAGACTTATATTTGATATCTACCAAATTGTGTTTAGGGTCAACTCTAACCCCC